GAAATATGCTATAGATTTCCAAGTGTTGTTGTGCATCTCATTGTTACTTCATGTACAAAAGAAGTAGAGAACAACAGAAAAACAACAACAACAGAAGGTTTCATGTGAGGTCACACAGATGCTTTCTCAATGTGAAGGCTTTATACAGTTATTTAATTGACATTGTGAGGGAGATCAGGCCTCACTTTCCTCGAAATTTTTACCTCTCCTTAATATTATACGATTATTTGTAGCTGGACTTCCTATTTCAATCTGATCGTATCTACTTCGTTTCAGAACGCACTAAGGGCAGATGGGAAAGAAACAGCATCAGAAGGATAAGCTGTGAGTTCGAAATTTTTGTTAGTCTTTAGATCCTTATGACCTTTCGTATTTTTATGTATTTGAAGTCTTTCATATTCATGTCCTAATTGTGAGCTCGTTTTCGCCATACTTTCACCGTATAACGAGTGAATCTAGGTATCTAACAACAACCGAATGGAAGGAAATCGGTGGCCATAAAGATGGTTGGTTACTTAATAACTTTAATAATTGATTTTGACAGCTTATTCGATCTATCTTTTTTCGGATTTTATAGATTACTATAGAGCTTGTTCCAATGGTTGTTTTTATTTTGTTAATTTTTTTTTATTTTGAGGAGCAAGACAAGATGAGTTGATACTTACCTGAGCTGTTTAGCTTATTTTCGATTTTTTTTGCGACGGGTTTGCAAGGGGGCTCCAAACCTCTGAGACTACCACCACCCCAGGCAGACCAGATCGGCCAGAGCGGTTGATAGTCTCAGGGCTTCGAAGAACAAGCAACCCAATGCTTTTTAGTCATTCCGCTGAAACCGCAGAAAATTGTAGTGCAGCCGTAAGGCACAAGAACCTCCAATGGGACAATTTCGATTGGGTTTTACATTGAAAATTATACTGTTTGAGACACGAGTACCCGGCTTCAGCGTGCTCAATTCAAGCGTCTTCCTCTCACTCACTGCTCTCTTTCATTGATCCCATTTGAAGATCCTGTGTGTACACGATCGGGAGAGATTTTTGATCTGACGTTGGTTTGTTTCATGTTTAATTTTTGTTTCCGATCATCTTGTTTGAGAATTCACATCATACTATCACTTGCGCTTAAAATCTATAGCTTTTGTTTCTAGGCATATAATTCCTTATTTGAAAAAGAATGGTGTTAATCCTTGCACCGGCATGAAAATGAGCAGTAAAGATCTCATCCACTTGAAGTTTGATAAGGATGAGCAAGGTAACTTCTTCCTTCAAGTTTCCCCCTGTACTATCGCATATTCAAGTGATCCCTGTGTTATGGTACGTCTAGAAATGATGTATTATAGGGAAATTCCGTTGTCCTGTGACATTTCGTGCTTTCACTGATCATACTCACGTGGTTGCTATTGCAACGACGGGAAACGTATTTTCTTTCGAAGCTGTTCAGGTTTCTTCGTAGGCTTGTATCATCACATAACATATTCATCTTTCAAATTTTCGTTGTAGGAATTAAATTTGAAAGCGAATCACCTCAAAGATCTGCTCACCGATACTCCCTTCCAGAAAAGTGATATAATCGTTCTTCAGGTAATGCGGTTTTTCTGTTTAAAGTTTGGTAAGGATGAGCAAGGCATTTCTCCACTTTATTATATGTCCCCAACGACCACTTCGCCATCTCTTTGTTGCAGAACAGACCCTATCATATGTTATGCTTCATTTGATTTGATATAATTTCTAAGAAATATAATGCGAAAGCGAAGGTTCAGGACCCGCATCATCTCGAAAAATTCAACCTGGAGAAATTTTACCATGTACAGTTTGATCCTAAAACGAAGGAACAAATTGAGAAGGAAAAGAAGGAAATGCAGGTACGCTTTTCAATTTCACCTCGAGTGGGTTTTATAACCAATGTGTTCTTTTTTTAACAACTGGAACTTCCTCAATATTTGTTTATCTTTTCATTGGATTGGAATACGGTCTCAAAACAAGGAAAGCATAAGTAGAAGTCTGTAACCATTCAGGACCCCAAATTTTTCATACGCCGCATGAACAACGAGACTAAGGAGGCATTGGAACAACTGAAAAAGGATTATATCCCAAGAAAGGCAATTTGTTTTATTTTGTGCATTATTATCAGAAGATTATGTTTGTCCGTTGCTAGTCTTTTTAGATGTTTCTATAAGTTTTACCTATTGTTTTTAGTGAATATTATCGAGGTGACTTACAGGTTGATGCTATGTCTGAGGAAACGGCTGATGAAATAAACGCGGCACATTACAGGTCATTCATCAGTTCTAGCCTGATAATTTTTCTTTTTGTAGGGTTTGCACCTGAACTCATTTCGTTTCCATACTGTTGTTCATATATAAATGATTGTTTATAGTCAGGGACAGGTTGCTGCTGGCTTCACGTCGACAACTATGGCGCCAATAACAAAACAAAAAGCTGCGGTGCTTACAGATGAGGTTGTGAGGTAAGCTCTGTTCTTAGGCTACTTCTTGTAAACCTTTTTTTTCTTTATTAGGCAGTTTTTTGCCTATCTTCCATTTCAAAAGGCGATTTCGAAGCATCATTTCAGGTATTCTCGGGTAAAGAAAAACGGTTACGTACGCATAGTCACAAATCACGGATCCTTGAATCTTGAGCTGTTGGTTTTTTTTTCGTTACGCCGTCGGTTACTGATTTTGCATAACTGCTCTTTTCGATCTGTCTCTAAATGTCTTTACTCTAATAAAGCGCAGATTTTGCCCAAAAGCTCCGAGAACGTGCGAGAACTTTATAACTCTCTGTTCAAGAGGATACTACAACAACACGAAGTTTCACAGAATAATAAAGAATTTTATGGTGAGTTACCAACTATATTTATGCATGAGAAAACATTGCGATTTATCGTTAGTTTTGTTGCTATAAAAATAGTTTCGTCATTCAACAGTCACAGCACATGAGATGATCATCGTATCATGCGGTTTCCTTTAGATGCAAGGCGGTGATCCTACTGGTACCGGTCACGGCGGAGAGTCAATGTGGGGGAAACCGTTTGACGACGAATTTGCCCCTGTCAGTGCTATATTTTTTATTGATTATTCACCGAAGTTTTCGCGCCAATCACTCTTTTTTTTTACTTTGAGTATTTCTTTTTTGCTAACTGCTTTCTTTCTTTGTTGCTAGGGTCTTTCTCATGACTCACGAGGAGTTCTTTCCATGGCCAACAAAGGAACAAATACAAACCAGTCACAGTTGTAAGTTTCCAAGTGCATGGATTGTTGGATTACATGAATTGTCGATGCGGTGCTTCTGATTGTGAAAAATTTTCCATAGGGATCCTTAGCCAATATCAATTTGGGGTAATACTGTTTTCGCACTGGTTTCTACTTGGTTACTTGGTTTTTTTTCTACCCATCCTCATTATTGGTAAACTAGTCGGACAGATTATAAATTGCAAACCAGACGTAATCTTGACTACTTGACTCGATAATGTTTTGCATTTATTAAACTGATAGTTGCTGCTTTTCCAGGGATTTTGAGTTTCTAATCGATGTTTCTAGTTCAAGTCTAATTACATCCTTCTGTCTAGATTCCTTTGGCTTACAGAGGCCTATGGGCTAAATGAAGTTAGACATCTTGGCTTGAAAACACCTCTACCTTTCAGAACAGCCAAGAATCAATTATGTCAAGCCCTTTTGAAAGAGCTGAATGATTCATTTTAGCTTCATTACATTTCGTCCATGTAAATATTTGGACAAAAAGCACTCAGTATTTGGTCGTGTAGTCGGAGGTCAAGATACCCTAAATTCTATCGAGAAGGTTGAAACTGAAGGTGGTGATACTCCAAAAGAGGTAATTTCGTGATCAGTGATCTCTTTCTATCTTCAGCCCATTGTTTTAGCCTGTAGTTTTCATGCGTGCTGAGGTCTTTGTTGATCCATTTGAGGAAGCTGAAGCGGAAGTGCAGAAAGAGCGAGCAAATTTACGCAGTAGAGGTAATACTGTAGAATACATCTATTGCACTCTCAGCTTTCTTGGCTTTCGTCATACTTTTCGTTTTTCGCTTTTTTAGCAATTGAGTTCAATGCTTTACGTAACCACTACCAAGCATTCTCATTTTCAGACGCGGAAGCAGAAGCTGATGCTAAAAAGGAGGCCATAGCTAAGCCCAAAGCGTTCGCATCCGGGGTTGGGAAGTACATTAACCCTCAGAATAAAAGGCCAGTGGATAAAGATGTGAGTTTTGACTGCGGTCAATTTTGATGGTCTGTTTGAATAAATACTTGTTCTATCGATCCTTTTTTCTCTAGATATCTTCTTCACCTGTAATGATTAAGAAGAAAGCAGTAAAGACGTCATTGTCAGATTTTTCATCATGGTAAAACCGTTACATATTGAAATGAAGTTTTGATCTGAATGAATAGTCTTCGTGAAGGGTTTTGATGTCAAGAAATCAAAGAAAGTAAATAGTGAAGCTGCTGTGGCTTGATTTCATAGATTATTTGAAAATCCCTCGTTGAGTTGTGAAGCAAGGAACATGCTCTCACTGGTTCAAAAAGTCTGCCCACTGAATCACACAGTTTCAAGCCGAGTTTATACAACTTTGGGAACACGTATTCTGTAAACCAAATTTAGCGAATAATTTGGGCCCAGTCATGAATTTCAAATATATCGTACTGCTTTCTTTCACGTAGTGTCGTGTCGTTTATCCATCTTTATCTTCTATCTGAATAGTAGTTTCGTACTTTTTTGAAACCTAAAACTGTATTTCTCTTACACTGTCCTTTACTGATCATAGTCTAGGCTACAAACTTAGCCCCAAACAAACTTATTTGTCTGAATAGAAATCAAATGTGTGGAAACAATCTGAAAAGAGATAGGTTAAGAGCTTTGGGCAAACCCTTGGAAATTCATTTTATATCTCGATAAATTACTTTACAGGATGTTTGTAGTGTAGCTCTACACCAAAGCTTCTTTTTCTATCCAATGTAGCCTCAACAGATTATTTTCTGAGGGTTTAAAAAGTCAACGAAGTTGTCACCATTACTGAGGGGTAATAAAAAAATTAAAAAAAAAGCCTTGGAACTCAATTTGACCGGAAATCGATCTTTTCCCGCGTTCTCTCGATGCGTTATGTTTGGCGAATGATATCATCCTACTTATATAATCGGCTAAGTTTGCCTGTTGGTATGTTTTGTCCGACCGGAAATTCATAACTCCTGTTCCCGATGACCTAAGGCGATCAATTTGGTACAAGTACAGGCGGCAGGATGGGAACCCTGATGGTAGGTAATAGGAAGTGACAACTAACAATAGAAACTGATAAGGAGCCTTAAAAGGCAAAGATACGGGATCCGTAACTCCCTTCGTATTAACGGTGACGCCTTAGCACTTAGGCAGGTGGGTTAGGATGTGATGGAATCGTTAATGATTGGTGGCAGGGAATGATAACAAGTGATAAGGCCTGATAAGAAACCATAGAAGGCGAGAGCCACTAAGTTTACAACGCACTTTATGTTAACGGTAAAGCTTTGGCAGTTTGGTAGGTGGTGTGGGATGGGAAGGGAATATAGATGATTGGAGCCAAGAACTGATTACATGTGATAAGATCTGATAAAAAGCCATAGAACACGAGAATCACTAGATCTGTAACGCACTTCCTGTTAATATTGGAATTTTAGCATTTTAGTAGGTGATGTGAAATGTGTCAGGATCGTAGGTACTCGGTGACGGGAGCTGATAACTACTGATACTGAGCTGATAATGAGCTGTCAAAACCAAAACGCTTCGTTCTTGGTGTTAACAACGGAACATTGACGTTTTGGCCAGGCCAGGAGCTGATAAACCTGACGAGGGCTAATGAAAACCCTCGAAAGCGTAGAACCACTATAATAATGTCATTAATAGTGGAGCCTTGACAGTTTGGCATGTGACGTGGAGTATGGTGGGATCGTAGACGGTCAATGATAAGGACTGATAACAGCCGATAGCGACTGCTAAGGGCACTTACCAATAGAATTCAACGTCCGCGATATTTACGATGTATTCATGATCACGACTATCAGATTACGACCGCTGCCTAGCACGGTTTGTAACTCGGTGGAAGATTAAGGTTACTTTTTCCTTTGATATCATTTACGACAAAGCTCATCTGACCGCCAATAATTTGGAATTCTCAACTAATGATGTATGCGTGAAAGAAAGATAGTCTAGTGATAACGAAGGCTGTTAATGAATTTATTATCACTTGAGAACATTTGTGTGTACTATTCAATTCTTTGGTTGCCTATCAATTGATGGGTCATAATTTTTAAGATGACACCGATCGAGGCACCTTTAATTTGAGCGTAAGCATCGGCACACTCTGAATATCACTAGCGCTGCCCTGCCTATATCAGCTCCCCTCTTTTTGGGTCTTGTGTCAAAGTTCTATAGATTGTGTCAGAAAAGCATAATTCGTTCCACAAATAGGGTTGCGGGTTGCCGATTACTAGAACTCAGAGAAGGAGAGAAGCCCGGCGTTAGCCGGGCGATCCGACCTGTTCAATATATGACGGTAACTTTGTGTGTCTGTTTGTACGCCTGTTTGTGCGTCTTCCCGAAAGTCACGCAGGCAGGATGAAGAGTATAAATGTCACGAGAGCGCGGTGAGGAGCAGGTATGAAATGGGAGCCTACCGGTTCTGTTTATATTGGTCCTCTAAAAAGTCGTAGGTTAGCGGTAGTGGGCATGTGGTGCGCGCGTTAACGTGCGTAGCCCAACTGGTATGTAATAAAAAGGAAACGGTCAAAGAAGTATGATATTCTAAATTTTCTTCTCTCTAAGCTCTCCTGTGCGCTCCGACGTTTTTTTTTTTTGATTTCAATGTTATAGGAAATCACCCAACAAAAAAATCCAAGTAACGTCCTTCAGCCATTTATTACCCTGAAAAATTTCCACCAATTAGCAAAGGATGAACAGGTAATTATAATAGACGATCTAAGAGCAGAAACATGACCATTTTGCTGTGGCGTAAAAGAAGTACTGATCTACGGCCCTTATCTCTTGTTAATAGCGATTTTCTAGCTCATTGTTCACATTTCAATTTTTTTGATTTTGACCTGATTTTTCTAATTCTCCCATGTTCGTTGATTATAGCTGTCCTTAACAATATGACATTCTCATGGTATCTATAAATGTATGTACAGTTCAGGTCCCTCAGAGGGATGGCAGGCAAATATGTGGCAGGCCACAAAATAAGAGTCGTCGAGCAGCCTTTTCTTTTGATACATGATAAACGTACAGAATTCATTCGGAAATTAATTCCGTGCTCGAAAGGGTCTTTTTGCAAAATAATAGAAAAGTATAGAAAAAATCAAAGATCAAGGATTGGCTCCTCCGGATGTTCTTGATATAGGGTTTCTGTGCAGAACGGGGGCTCGCCATTTATTCAGGACCTATCTATCTTTTTTATCGTTACGACACGGCATTCTTATCATATATCGTACAGCTTTATTAAACACAGCAGTTTGAGGAGCTGATATTTCACCGACGATGGAGCGGTACAGATAAGTCCAACTTTACAGGTAATAGTTTTGCGATCAAGTGTTTGATTGCCATTGTGTCATCATATCGATTGCGCCCACGAATGAAGAGCAGTGTCGAGGAAACATCAAATGTGAGCTCTAATGTTTTGTAAAACTGCCCTGCTGACTCAGAAATCGCGTATATGTCCATGAGTGGACTTGTGAGCGCCATAATTGAGCGAAACAAACAGATAAAGGACCCTGTTATGGCACTGTTTTCAAATGCTCTCGTCTCGAACTTGCCTCAGACCATTGCAGATGCTGTGGAGGCGGATAAAAGGGGCCGTAGCTTGGTCGTCTCAGGGAGACATGAGTCTTGCCCCAATGTCCCCTTCTAGCAAGCAACGGGAGTTAGAGGTTAAAGCTTGACATTTTAGGTGTCGAGTGTAGGCCAGTCGAAGTCTACCGCATGAGAAAACCTGACAGTTCGCGTCCAAGGCTGGTCAAACTGGTGCTGCCGTCGAGGAGTCACTGGATCACAGCGCTTACCAATAGTCAGTCAGACTGGGTCGTCTAAATTACTCGAATTTTCTGAGTGTTGTTCATTAGTTCAGCATGTCACCCAGCCTACGCGTGGAAGCTTGATTCTGGATATAGTGCTTGCTAATGCTCCAGTCGTCAAGGATGTTCGTGCTTGTCCGCCTCTCGCTAACAAGGGAAGGATAATTGGTCGCAGTGGCCATTCAAGATGAGATGTA